GCTGGGAATCTTTTCTCTCAGAGAGGAGGAGAAGGAAAAGAAGAAACTGAGCAGCATTTCTACAAAGCTTTCGGCAGAATGGATCAAGTAATCCAAACTGTGGATGGCCCAGCTCAGTCAATATGGCTTCCCTTCAGGGGAATGAAGGTAGACAAACTAGTTCATTTGCCTATCCATTATGAAAAAATGCAATGAGCTTTCATGGAAAAAAAACAGCAACCATGTTTGGTTTTTCTTCTCATGAAGAATTCACTTAGAGCATTTCTGACAATAGCGAAGAAAAGAAGAACAGAGAAGAAAAAAAGTAAACCATGCATTCCTTACGCTAACAAAGAGGAAGCCAAAGAATGCTTTCTTCGTGTTTACAGCATTAATACCCATGTGCTTCTTACAATAGAAACCAAAACAGAATCTCCATTTCAGATCCACAAAGGTTTAAAAGTAAACTAATCACTACAGATGTAGCAAGGAAATACTATGTTTTGTCAAGCACAAAAAAACAAGGTAAGAATAGAAGTCACCAAGTGTTTGGGAACAGCTCCCTACCATGATCTGGTAAAGGGAAGTCCAGCAACTCCTTTACAATTCAGGAAACACCACGATTCATCACGTGCACAGACTTAAGAGTTCAAGACCCATGGGAGGACTGGGGAAATAAAATTCTGAGCAGATTCTTCATCTGAGGCAGACACATCTGACTCCCTTAAATACAGCCCAAAGACACAAATGCAAAAGGGGGTTATCACCCCTCTTATCATGATGGTGCAGTCCTGCTCCTGTCCTTGCTTAGAGAGGAGGCTGCTGCCAGCACAGCCTGCCGGGAAGACCACCCCACTCACCTGCTCCTCTCTGAGGGGCCCCTCACGTGGGCTTTGCTTAGAGCTACTACTGCCTGTGGCTCTCCCCTACTACGGGGTGACTCTGTGTCCTCCAGAGCAGAGTGGTTCCCATTCAATAAATGCTAAGGGAACTAAATCACAGTCTCTCCAAACCTTGGTTTCCTCATTTAAGAAAATGATATCTTTACAGCCTTTTCCACAGAGGTGTCCCTAAGGCTCCAACAAACTAATGCAGATGAAAAGACCTTTGTGACAGGGAAAGGGCCACCCTACTGTAAGGGGTGCCATCCAAGGCATCACATTCAATGCAATAAATGAAAGTACACAGACAAGCACTCAAACCCAGCTGGGCTGGATTATGACCAAGTCTCAGAGCAAGTGGTAGTGCACAAAGATCTAGGAAAATCATTTTGGGATTCTAGTTCAAAGAGGCAGGACAGTCTCTAGATACTCCTAGAATAGAAGCTTCACAGAAGAGATACTTGTCTGTCTTATCCATCCAAAGATCCCCACAGCTGGAACATTCACATATGATGAATGGATGACTCAGAGACAGAGATATGTATACCCAAGAGTTTCAGACTTGAACCAAGGGCGGGCAAAAGGGGCCTGGCTAGCCTTGTAGACACACCAGCCTCTAGCATCTTCGGTCTGAAGTCCATTAGGAAGTCTACTGTAAACCTCTTCTTTCAAAGCCCTGGAAAGTTCCTCAACGAGAGGCACCATGGTACAGGGGAGAGAGCGCAGGCTCAGGAACTCAGAGTCAGATGAATCTAAATTCTGTTCTGGACAATGCAACTCTTGAACTTGATGGCCTCTCCTAAAAAGTGGTTAGCAGAACCTGATTCACAGGGCTGATACAAAGATCAAAGTTGATAATACATGTAATTCACTATGCACAATGCTGGGACGTAGTAAACACAAACAGGTCATCAGATCCTCCTTTTGGGTAAAGAATGAACTAAATCAGGTTAGATGATATAAAATCCCCCTAACTCAAATCTTTAGTCTTAGAGCAGAGACAGCCAAATTTCCATGTGGGCCCAAATCTCGGCAGAAGTGGAACAGTCATCTGGACAACACAATGAGAATTAATAGCCTGGTGAGAAAGACTTCTACATTATCATCCATTTCTCTAAAATCGTAACTAAAGTCATCTTCAGGGCACGTGACCTCTATCCTTTGAGGCAACAATGAGTAAAGTCAATGTCTGTCACATCCAGCTGGTGTGGTGACCCAGGATTTGGTGACAAGAATAAAGAAACTTTTAGGACACGCTGAATAAGATGGTGATGTTGTGGCAGATTCTTTGGAAGGAGAAACAAATCCTAGAAGTAATGCTTTTAGGTGAGGCATTTTGTTGATATAAGTAAGAAAGTAGGAGAAACAGAGGCATTTTTATACTCAAAGAATGAACTTCTCCATACCTTTGAGAATGTTTGCTCAGAAATCAGCAGTGCTATTAGCAATGGCACACGTGAAGGAACACACCACCGACTTCCTGTGAGCCCCAATGACCTCTCCACAGCAGCACTTGGGCACACTCCGTATTTACTTATGGTGCAATCTGATCCTGACTTCGGAGAGTTATTTCATAAGCCTTTTAAGGGTTACTACATTTTGTTCCTATAAGAGGCCAATCCAAATTAGCAACAAAAGAATAGTTAAACACAAGAAAAACCACCTCTTTTGTGCTCCACGAGAAAGGCAGTCTTGGTCATTAAAAAGGTAAAGTGTTTTATTCTCTATCAACTTTCTCTTACAAAAATTGGTGCAGTAATTTTCCAGGGTGGGAAGGGGATTAGTAGCCTTTCACTCATATCTGTTTGAAAATGAGGAGTCGTCGAAATGGAACACATATATAAGAGCAGGTTATCTGGCTTTTGGTTCTGGGCCATGTCCTGTAAAAAGTATTCCAACTATCAAATGTTGCACAACATACTACTCCTCCAAAACTCAGCATCTTAAAGATGACTGTTTTATTTTCAATCTTTTCTCTATTCTTCCAAATGGTTTCTATTGTCCTAACTCCAAGCACATCGACTCTTTACTCCGTCATCTATATTAAAATTGTCAAGCTCATTCAGTAAAATTTTTAAGTTTTATTTTGGATACTATATTTTTCAGTTCTAGATTTTCTATTTAGTTCTTTTTTTAGTGTCTATTTCTCTGCTGACTGATACAATCTTTTCATTCATTAGAAGCATATTTTTCTTTACATCCTTGAGCACAGTTACAACTGCTTTAAAATCTTTGTCTGCTAAACCCGACATCTGTGTTACTGTAGTCTCTGTTGATTATCTTTTTTCTCTTGGAGAATAGGTCATATTTCCTTGTGCTTAAAGTAAGTTTGAGTTGTATTCTGGACACTGAAAATACTATGCTGTAGAAACACTGGATTGCATTATATTCCTCTAAAGAATGTTGATATTTTTACTTTAGCAGGCATTTATCTCAGTTGGAGTTAAACTGTCAACTCTGGCACAGCAGCTCAAAACTCAATACAATTATTTTATCCTTAGGTTAGCTGCTTGGAGCCTGCCCTACATGTGTGATTCAAGCATCCACATGGATTTTAGACAGCCGGTAAACAAAATTTAAGGCTTGCTTTCTCCTGCCCAGGAGTCCCTCCTTCACATTCCAATGGCTGTGCTTACTCCAAGTTGTCTGTTCCTTCTTTAAGATGAAAGGGGTGCAGATTTTCTTTTAGAGTTTAAGTGTCCTGCACGGCACACACTGTGCCACTCCATTCTTCCAAGTGGCAATTCAATTCCAAAATCTGCCTGTTTGTGTCAAATTTTATTATCTTCACATGGCTGTCTTAGTCCAGAGCTTATAATTATTATTTGCAAGAGGATCAGACCAGCAGCAGCTCACAGGACTATTAACAGAAGCAGAACCCACATGACTTATTTTTTTTCCCATTTTTGTATTATTCCTCACAATCTTGTGGGTCACAAATTCAGAAAGGGCTCTGTCAGGCAGGCTGCCCCTGATTCATGTGGCATCAGCTGTGCAAGTAGGGAACTGAGCTTGGAACTGGAGAACTAAGCAACTACCTGAAAATCTTCCAAAATATGACCTCTCGCTCACAGGTCTGCTGCCCTGGTGTGCGTGACTCGTCTCTTTCTCTCTCATTACATCTCACCCTCCAGGGCTTCTCCATGCACACGTGGCAGATCATGCCATAGTGATCTCAGGGAATCTGCACATCTGACATGGTTAACCAGCTTTGAAGAGGCTAGAGATGGAATCTGGCAGACCAGTCAAGGGGTGTATAAAAAAATGATACAAGATCACTCTCCCACACTTAATTATTCAAAGCAGTCAGAGCTTTAGTCATCCAGACTGAAGAAAATGGAAAAACAAATGCTAAATCTCTGATGTGAGAATGGCAAAATCACATTGCAGGAATGTTTTTCCAGCCATCTTGGAGAAATATAATCTGCCACACATATATTCGATATTTGATGAAGCAAAACAAATGCCATCCAAAGAAAAAATCTAGGAAAATACAGGCAGGCTAGTTCAATGTTAGGCATGTGGTTCAATTCTCCTGCCCTCTTTTTTTTATCACCTTCTCATGTTATCAATATAATTACCTCTAAGCTATTCAGCACAAGAGAAGTTTCCAATGGCAGTCTACTGAGTTCCCAAAGATTTAATGCTTAAATATTATATCAACTTCAAAATAGAAGAAATGTTTATGATGCTATCCTCCATAAATGTACATCAGATTTAAGTTTTGTTTGTTTTTTATTAGGGTAATGGTCCATAATAACTACTATTTACTAAATGTCTACCAGGGGTTTGACAATTTCAAAGCACTTTAAATACCTGTTTTTATTGACTGTTCTCTACAAGATATAATACTATGTTTAAATGCACTGCCTTCAGACAAGCACTGACAATTTTTAAGAAAGGAGACTGGCTCAAACACAACCAAGGACAAATATAATACAAAATTACAAAAATACAAACCCTGACATAAACAAACATGACCTAGCATGTGTATCTGTGGGAATATGCGCACTTACATATTATTTCAAGCTACCTTCTGAGCAAACTTTCATCCCAAAAAAGTGTATATATTCTAAATTCTAAATATCATATTCTAAATGAAGACATATATATAGGAAATATACCAAGAAATAACCTTACCTTGTCTTGGTTGTCTTTATTCTTGTAACACAGATTTCCAATGAGACGAATGAGATGAGACTTAAACCCCTCAGCCATATTTGAGATGTCACCCTCTGCTTTTATGCAGCCACTGCTACTGAAGATGTTTGCGGTGTCGTTGCCAGCTACATGAATCAGTCGCAAAAGATCTGTAACAAAACAATAAATTTTATTTTCCTTAAGAAAATTTTTAGTGTCTTGTATTAATTTTCCATATACAAATCTATCTTATGTTAATGGACATAAGATGTTAATGTTAAAATAAATGTAGAGTGCCTTTAATGATTAGAAAACTCTTCTTCTGCTCGAAATTTTTTCATGACTGGTTTGGGGGAGATAAGCCATAATGAATATCACAACTTGGACTTTCTATTTTTTCCACAAAGAAAAGTTAGCTAAAAATTTTCTGCAATATTTCTTTTTTTTTAAAGATTTATTTGAGAGAGACAGAGCGTATGTGTATGTGTGCGTGCACATACGTGAGCAAGGGAAGGGACAGAGGGGAAGCAGACTCCCTGATGAGCCAGGTAACCAGATCCCCCCAACAGGGAGATTAAGAACTGAGTGGAGGGGATCCCTGGGTGGCTCAGCAGTTTAGCATCTGCCTTTGGCCCAGGGTGTGATCCTGGAGTCCTAGGATCGAGTCCCACATCGGGCTCCCTGCATGGAGCCTGCTTCTCCCTCTGCCTGTGTCTCCGCCTCTCTCTCTCTCTCTCTCTCTCTCGTCTCTCATGAATAAATAAATAAAATCTTAAAAAAAAAAAAAAAAAGAACCGAGTGGAAACCAAGTGCTGGACACCTAACCAAATGAGCCACCCAGGCACCTTCTGTAACCTTTCTTATAAAGAGGTTTCCAATCCTAAATTCTTTATGAAGAAACTCACGTGACAACTACATTCATCTAAGTCTAAAATACAATACCTATTCTGTAATGAGCAGTAGGACAGAAACAAGAAGTAGGTTGATTTTTTTTCACATTGTCCAGATAATCAGAAGGCAGCATGTACTCTCCATCAATCTATTCTGGCCAAGTTCAAAGAAGGAACATTGTTATGCTCTATGAAATGCCTCTAGACTGTATATGAAAATAGATCATCTTCCAGAAGCTGAATTTAAGTGTTTCCACAGTATCTCACTGAACACTCTCAACAAACCTATTAAAGGCTGGGATCCCTGGGTGGCGCAGCGGTTTGGCGCCTGCCTTTGGCCCAGGGCGCAATCCTGGAGACCCGGGATCGAATCCCATGTCGGGCTCCCGGTGCATGGAGCCTGCTTCTCCCTCTGCCTGTGTCTCTGCCTCTCTCTCTCTCTGTGTGTGTGTGTGACTATCATAAATAAAATAAAAATTAAAAAAAAAACTATTAAAGGCAAATATCACTTTCTCTATTTTATAATGAAGAAAGCAAGCTCTGAGAAGTCAGTATTTTGGTGGAGTTGGGATGACAACCCATGTCTGCCCTGCCTTCAAACACATGTTTTTCTACAATGATTCTGTTTCCCACGTTTGTGGTGTTTTATTTTAATTATCACTAAAAACACTGCATTCAAAATAAAACACTTACATGAGACTCTAAACCTCTTCTACAGCTCACTGCTGACTCATCTACTCACCTCATACAAATTCATCTTTCTTAGCATATGCATCTCCACAATAAGTATAATCCTCTTTTAAAGAAAAAAATAGCAAACAGTGAATAACAACACCACAAGCTTGGCTAACCACAAGGAACAGGTTCTACTTGAATTATTTTGCAAACAGCTTTTTAGCAAAGACGGTATTCCAAACAATGGATAAGAATCGGATACATAATTATTATGTGTAAGGCATTATTCTTTGTGCCCCATAAAAATAACTGGGAAAAACATACTTACAAATTTGGAAAACGAATATAAAATCACCATCATCATCACTGAAACTACCCCCATAACCAAGCCCCCCCATCATCACAAACCCCGCAACCACTCCATCATAACACTAGTGATCAAACATCCAGTGTGTGCCCTATATAGGAGGCATTCATACTCTCATCTACTGGTCAAACATCCTGAGGAAACAGCAGGTCAGAAGCCAGAGCTGTTACCAAAACATAGTGATTCTTCTAATGAAAAAAAAAATATTCAAAATAAATCTCAAAAATATACCAATACAATGAAAACTAAGGCTAGGTGTTTGGACTTACATTTCAGTGTGACAAGTCAAAGATTCCTTAATTACGAATAACAGCATGTGTGATACTTCACTCACCAATCACTCTTTCCAGCAAGCCAGGAAAAACCTGCAGATAGCTGAGCAGATCAGTATTGGCAGTCATTGCACATAAGACATCAAGAAGCCGAATTGTGGCCAATGCCTCCTAAAAAAAGAAAACATGACTTTAAACTCAAGCTAAATGATTTGCAACTGTTATAAATAACGGTAAGAGAATGACATATTATGATAAATATTAAAGAGTTGATGCTGGTAAAGACAGCATCTGAAGAGAGAAAACAAATGACCAAGAATGAAACAGAAGTATTAAATATGTACGTGAACAATTATTTTCACCAACAGCAGCATCTGCCATCAAGAACACCAGATTACGTGTCATTATATGTCTTCTTGGAGCAAAGAGTCAGAAAAGTTCTTATTCAAGCAAAAATACCTTCCAACAGTGGAATAAATGTTCAAAATTACTAGCTACGTACATAACATTTATGCAAATACTTTCTTTTTAAAGCATTCCCAGCAAGCAAGTTCTACTTTAAAGATACAACTATCCCATGAAATACATTAATTTCTTGTCCACAGGAATCCTGTAAAATGCTGTGGTTGAAAGACTCTGGCTTCAAGAATGTGCATTATTATTTCTGAGTAAATATAAACCTATATGCAGTATGTACCAAGGTTGGAAAAGATAACATTATGTGAACGTGTTAGTTCACATAACTACTCAATAATTGGTTATCAAATGGACCACATGAACAAGAAACTACCAACTACCAACTATATGGTATTAGGTAATCTGAATAAAATGGTAAAATCCAATTTTGTATGGATTTTGACCCTAATTTTTAAAGTACACATTATTTGGCAAAATGTGGTAGATGCTATAAATTCAGGTCATACAAGAGAACATTCTTCAAGAGAAAAATAAACTACTTCCTTTTGTTAATTCTAAATGTGTATATATAGTTATCTCATTAGAAGATTTAAAGGTAATATTCTAATCCACCATTCTGAAATCTCGAAAGAAACCACAAGAAATAGGCCTCCAGTATCTAGTAGGTCCTCTTTAGTGTATGAAAATCCTTTTGTGATCTTCCTTTTCCTTACCTCCCCCAAGTCTGCAGGTATATCACCAGCCACCCCTCATAAGCCCAGGGCAGCAGCTCTTCCTGCCCATGGGTCCTGTCCCCGAGCTTTAATAAAACCCCACAATTTTGCACCATAAATAAATAAATAATAGAAGAAAAAAGAAACAAGAAACAACATAAATGTTTTTCTTAAAAGAACTGATTATTTATTTATTGGGGTGGGAGCAGAGGGAGAGGGAGAGAATCCCAAGCCGACTCTGCACTGAGCATGGAACCCGGCATAGGGCTCGATCTCACGACCCCGAGGTCATGACCTGAGCCAAAAATCAAGAGTCAGATGCTCAACCAACTGTGCCACCCAGGCGCCTCACAACACACATTTTTAATGCCTTGTACCTTTAAATTTACTCTAGCTTTCACTTGCTCCTTAACAAATTAGGGGAAATATCTGAGCAACATTCAAAAGACTAGAGCAAACCCGTGGACATTGTGCAGCATCAGCACTCTCTCTTGTTAATAGGCAGTTGCCCAGAATGCCATTCCTCCTTCAAGAAGTGGCTGATTGGTTGTAGATCTGAAGCAGAATATGTGTCAGATGATCCTGGACACCTTGTCATACCAGATAGCAAAGACGCTATCAGAGATTATCAAGATCATGTCAGAAGGAATCAGAAGCAACCTGAAGAGGATTCCAATGGCCCGCAATGGCACATTAGAATATTAGGAAGAATTATAGCTAAAATGGACTGAAAATAAATCAAGTCGTTTTAGGGGTGCCTGGGTGGCTCAGTTGGTTAAGCGTCCTACCCTTGGTTTCAGTTCAGGTCATGACCTCAGGGTCCTGGGATTGAGCCCTGCATCAGGCTCTACACTCAGCAGGGAGTCTACATCCTCTCTTGCTCTTTCTCTAAAATAAATAAATAAATCTTTTAGAAAAGAACAGAACAGAAACCAGGTGATTTTAAAACCATGACATCACAATGGTGATGAAATCAAAACATTCACTCATCCTCTCTGGATGATGCCACAAAACCAACTCATTATTTTGAAAATTTGTAATCAAAATGTACCTTTGTATAACCTAACAATTGATCAGGAGAAGTTTCTAAATGATAAAAGTAAAAATATCACCACTTTGCAACCCCCAAAGAATGAAGGGATCTAAGTAACAATCATTTATAGCTGCTAACATCACAAAAGAGACAATCAGACATTATATGCCTCTGAGAAAGCATGGATCACCAACAAGAAAACATTACTGGAAAAAAAGTCAAAAACCTAACCCAAATCTGAATAGGTCTCTTGAATTAATTGTGTCACAGGAATGCAAAAGGAAAAGAGGAATGTGTTAAACACCACCATGGAGATAAAATCAAAATCCAAATTCTAGAAAACTCAACAGGTAAAACAACCCAGTTTCTTCAATAAAGAACCAGCAAAAGAAAAGAAGAAAAAGAAAAGAAGAAGGGCAAGAAAAGGGAACATACACATTACAGGGTATGTGAGATACAATAACCAATGGCAACGTATATAGCCTTTATTTGTATCCTGATTCAAAGCAATTTGAACAAAATTATTAGATAATGGGAAAAATCTGAGTATTATGCACTTGATGTTATAATTTTATTGGTAATTTTTTAGGTGTGCTGACAGTAGTTGACTTGTGTATGACTCCTCACCTTTTAAATATATGTATACCCTGATGAGAGACGTTGGAATTTTGCTTCTATCCAGGGCAGCTGCCGCAAGATCAGGTTGGGATCATGGACAAACTGAGAGCTGGTGATATGAGTGATGGGGTTTCAGTACACTTTTTTTTCTTAGTCTGTTTGAAATATTCCATGATAAGAAGGTAAGAATAAAATTGGAAGCTTGGAAGAGATCATCTATACCTTTTCTTTCAGGTCCTAAATTCTATATTAACTGAAATAAACCCAAAGAAATATAATCTATCTCTACCTAACACATTCCCAATTTTAAACATTAGGATTATTTTCTGAATGTTTCTAATGAGCATCTGAAAATTAATAATAAGAAAATAGCCAGAAAAAATGATTCTCTTAAAAAATAAGAGGAATACTTGAGACGTTCTTCTAATATTTGTAAGTCTTACACAACTATAGTCATTAAATCAGGCACTGGGGAAAACAGACACAGGCACATCAAAGGAATGAGCCTCTGCAGTGGGCAGAAGAGGGGAAATAAAAAAAGATTAATCTCCTGTCTAGATCATCTGTCTGGGTTAAAACTTTATCCTTTTGTGTCTTTGAACTATGTCACAATATTGTAAGTTGTAGAAAACTGATAATAGTGCAAGTGACTCTTGTTCACAGAAATGTAGATTACTTGTGCCTGGTTGGAATGCAATTAATTACTGCCTTGTGGACAGACCAGTGTTTGCATCTGTGGGTATGATCACTCCAGCATTCCTTCATTGCGTATAAACACACAGCTTTCTGAATTTTTTGTTGTTGTTGTTTTTTAATATTTTATTTATTTATTCATGAGAGACAGAGAGAGAGAGAGAGAGGCAGAGACACAGACAGAGGGAGAAGCAGGCTCCATGCAGGGAGCCCCATGTGGGACTTGATCCTCTGTCTCCAGGGTCACACCCTGGCCTGAAGGCGGTGCTAAACCGCTGAGCCAATTCAGAGCTGCCCTCTGAATTCTTTGATAGCTGTTAGTATCTCACTGGTTCACTCAGTAAAATCTCAGAAACACAGAAAAGGAAATATACAGGAATGCAGTATATGACAAAAGCAGCACTGCAATTAGTGGAAAGGATGAGATCATTCACTAAATGGTATTGACACAACAATTAATAGCTAAAATTTAGTAAGTGCTAACTATGTAACAATCAGCATAGTAAATGCTTACATCAAAATACCATTCATCTGACAAGCAGAGAAACAGGAGCAGAGAAGGTAAGTAACTTTTTCCAAGCTTACACGCCAGCAATACATGAAAATTAGGGTTCATGCCCAAGTTTTCCTTTACCAAAATTATAGAATCCTGGATCATTGAAAGACATAAATAATTCATCTGAATTTATACTTCACTCCTTGCTAAAAAATAAATTCAGTTAAAATGTAGACCAAGTACCAAAAGAATCACAATATACAAGAGCATATTTCCACAATCTAAGTGGAGATGGATGTACTAAATATGTAAAAAAACAAAAACAAGAAACAAACCTTCAGAAAGCTAAGGATAAAACTGATAAGCCTGACTAGCATAAGAACAAAAATAGGCTAAGCATACGATAAATAAATTCAAACAAAAAATTACTTATGCGGGGAAAACAGTTTTTGCATATAAGACAAAAACATTAATTATCTGAAAATGCTCATTAATAAATGTGTTTTAGAAGGTCACCTAATAATGAAAAGCAAATTAACATGCTGGACACTGAAAACAGCTAAAGAGAAATGGTAGTTAAATCAGATTAGTGAGAAGCTGTAAACCTACATACTCTCATGCTCTTTCAGTGTGGCATTTAGAAGTATTTCTAAACATTTTAAACAGACTGACACAGCAATTCAACTTCCAGGTATGTATGATTCCATATTTACCTGTCCAAAACAGCAAAGATATCCACACTACAGCATTATCTATAAAAGTTTTAGGAAAATCCTGGAAACAACTCAAGTGTACATCGACGGAGAACAAACGAGAAAACTCGTCTCCTCTGTCTAGTGGAATTCTACTCAACTGTGAGCAATAAGCAGGTGAATGCACATATGTGTTAAAATGGAAAGATGAATGAGACACTTCAGTCTAGGTGAGAAAAGGAGTTGAAGCATTAAAAAAGGTAATATTGGAAAGAGAAGGAAGGAAGGAAGGAAGGAAGGAAGGAAGGAAGGAAGGAAGGAAGGAAGGAAGGAAGGAAAGGAGGGAGGGAGGGAGGGAGGGAGGGAGGGAGGGAGGGAAAGAGAGAAAGGGAGGGAGGGAACAAAAAACAGGTGGGTGTATACATACAAAAAACTCAGAGAAGAAAAAAAAGTATATGCTGATATGTCTGTAGAAAACAAGACGGGTAGGTGGGAATGAGGACTTTTCTTTAGAGCTTTTTGTTTCATGGACTTCAGTGTAGTTTTTTTTTTAATTTAATAAGCAAGTATTATTTGTACAATACAAATATTTAATCCCTTATCAATCTGTGGAATGAAAGATTACCCTTTCTTATTCCACAGATGTTTATTAAATACCTACTATATGAACAGATATTGCAATGTAATGTGGAGAATGCAAGGAATAAAACAGAATGAAAAATTCACCACCTGAAAATAACTCTCTTAATAAATGAATACAAGAAAATAGAAAACTAAGAAAAATGTATCTAATATCTAACTTCCAGAAGAAAGCCAGGCTCACTAAAAGCAACAAGGCCAAAGCTCAAAACGGAGCTGAATGGCACCCAAAGTCCTACAGGATGACAGCATGCTAGCACCAACAAAAATGGTCTCAGAAACAGGAAACAAGTACGCAAAAAATACCAAAGTCGGAAACATGTATGTGAGCATGAGAATCTAAGACTTTCCATCGAGAAGACATGAAAAAAACCTCAGGATTTAAAAGCCAAACAGTTACATAAACAGATGACCCAAAAATGACTATTTTCACCCCGATTTTTTGGTCACAGCCCTATGAAGACCTTACTGGATATCTTGTCCTAAGAACATCACAACTGGGTATAAGCAGAGGTTCGCTGGTCTGCTGGCCATGGGGAGGAGGAGGAGGCAGGAGCCCAGAGCCCTGATCCACAGCCTTTGCTGATTTCCATAGTAGAAAAACTCCCACCACGGCAGCTTTCAAGCTACCAAGAGTTGAACAGTCAGCTCACAGATTTCTGAATGTTTAACAGCTGACTCTCCCAAGTCAGTACAGCCAGCTCCAGTACACCACTGGGTCTGTGGTATGTATTTAAATACTGAGGTTAGAGGTCTTCTTCAAAACTACCGTGGCTTTTTAAAAAACATCTAACTTAAAGAAGAACACATGCACATCAAAATCGTCTATACTGTAAATGCAAGTGCCCTGAAAAAGTTTAAAACTGTGGTTTAACAAGTACTAAGTTTTACTTCCTTTTCTGTCTCCTAGAGAATTAATTTTTAAAACTTTTTTGAAGCACAGCTCACTGCTCCTCCTGCTGGAAACAGAGGTAAATCCATCTCCAGCAAGGAAAGGCACCAGGAAGTCAAGACTTGCCCTCTCCTACCACAGAAATGAGAACTAAAACACTAACTTTGTCAATGAGACCTAACGTGGTACGTAGGACATGGCATGGAAAATCCATAGCAAAGTAACCTTGAAAAAAGGTATATTTACAAAGAGGGAAATCGATTTTCATGGCAGGAGAGTCATAATTACAGCCTGCATTTACAAAGGGAGTTAACAGCTTTGTGGCATCACACATAGGATCCAGGACACGTTCATGGATTATGGAAAACCAGCCCTGCCCAGCTCTTCCCACGCCTCTGCCCAGGGGGTCGCTCTCCATCCATAACTCCCATCAGCAAAGAAATGCAATAGAGATTCTGTACATGGTTCTCTGACACAGAACGCACCCTCATATCCTCCACAATCAATTCTACCCCTTCACCTCCAGCCCCAGGGGACATCTGATCTGCTTTGTTACCATCAGCAAATTTTACCTTCTGCAGAATTTCAGAGATGGAATCATGAGATACGTTTTCTACTCTCGCTGCTTTCCTGCGGTATGTTCGGGATGCATCTCTGCTATTGTATCACAAACCCATCCCTTTCTACCGCTGAGTAGTACTCCAGAGGAAGAACCCTTCTTAACACTAAGACATGTGTAAGGAAGATGCGATGGGTAAAAATAAACAGAATTTCTCAGGTGCTAAGGGTGTATCAATGCTTCTACCCTCTTAGTAACAACCTGAACGACCCAGGGTGGCCTCGAGGAAAATAAAACAAAACAATACTTAAAAAAGCTAGCCAGGATGGTGTATGACCCGGAATCTCCTATAACGTAAGAAACAAATGTTCCGAGAAGGCAATTTAGAAATGCATACCAAAACAACTGGATATACCCCAGGGCACCTGGGTGCCCTGACTGGCTAACTGACTGGCTCAGTCAGTTAAGGTCTGACTCGAGATTTCGGCTCAGGTCATGACCTCATGGTCCTGAGAGCTAACCCCATGTTGGGCTCCATGTTCAGGGAGGACTCTGCTTGAGTTTCTCTCTCCCTGTTTGCCCCTTCCCCTCTCAGGCATGCGCATGCTCTCTACCTAAAATAAATTAAAAACAAAAACAAACCTAGATAGACCCTTAACACCCAGCAATTCCACTCCTGGGTTAGCAGTAGGGAAAGGTATAAAGACATTAGCTGCAAAGACATAATCTATAGTTCTAACTACAGAAAAGAGAAATAACCTGAGTATCCAACTAAACAGTTGCACAAATAAATTATGGCAAATTCTGCACTTCCAATGCTACACAGACTTTTTCTTTTTTAAAGATTGTTTTTATTTATTTATTCATGAGAGACAGAGAGAGAGAGAGAGAGAGAGAGAGAGGCAGAGACACAGGCAGAGGGAGAAGCAGACTCCATGCAGGGAGCCCGACGCGGGACTCGATCCCAGGTCTCCAGGATCACACCCTGGGCCGAAGGCGGCGCTAAACCGCTGAGCAACCTGGGCTGCCCTACACAGACTTTTGAAAAGATGTTGACAACATATTACTTATTCATTTGGCAAATACTAAGTGCCTACTGTGTGCACAGTACTATGAACATAACAGTTAAAACTTCTACCCTCATAAAACTTACATTCAGAAGTAAAGAGAAACTTACCAAAAGTATGGCCTGATTTCATTTTTAATACATATATGTTTGCATGTGTATCCATGTATGCACGCATATATCCGATATTTTTTTTTAAGATTTTATTTATTTTTTTATTAGAGAGACAGAGAGAGAGGCAAAAACACAGGCAGAGGGAGAAGCAGGCTCCCTGCAGGGAGCCCAATGCGGAACTTGATCCCAGGACCTGGCATCATGACCTGAGTTGAAGGCAGATGCTCAACCACTGAGCCACCCAGGTGCCCCTCAATGTTATCTGTCTAGAAAAATATGTTAACTAGAGTTTGTTTTCAAGTCCTTAACTCTGGGGGGTAGAAACAAGGGAACCATTTTCCCTTATCGGTATTTTCTTATCTGTTCTACAACAAGGATACCGTCCTCGCCGCTGTAACAGAATACCACAGACTGGGTGGCTTAGAAACAACAGACACTGATTTCTCACAGTTGTGGAGGCTGGAAGTCCCATCAGAATGCTGGCATGGTTGGGTTTGATGAAGGCCCTCCTCCAGGCTGCAGATGGCTGACTGCTCCTTGTGTCCTCATGCAGTGGACAGACCCAGGTTTCCTTTGTAAGGGCAGTAATACCATTCAGGGGGCTCCACCTCCAGGACCTACTTACCTCCCACAGACCCAGCCTCCTAGCGCCATCAGATTTTCAACATATGGATTTGGAGGTGAGGGGCACAAACATTCAGTACACAGCAGTCCATAGGTGACTTATGCAATATTTTTTAAAGCTTTTACAAAAGAATTCTCATAGAGGACCTAGCTGCGTTAGAAAACCTCCCTGCTCTCTCCCACCCAAGAGCTGTCCTCTTACCTCATCATCAGTATGCTGCTCAGAGGTCAATTTTAGCACCATCTTGCACTGATCCACAAAAGTGCCTGCGATCAACTCAGCATGGCTCAAAAACACAGGGATGTCATCCTTGGTCAGGGGCTCATCCCCGACTAACTTCGCTATTATGAGGTCCAACAGTGTAACTCTGGTAAAACGTAAAAGAGTTTTACATGAATATGTAATACTGAAACTGTACAATGCTAAAAGTATTTATAGAGAACATTTTAAGAGAATATTTTTATTTTTAAATTTCTTGCTTTGTTTATAATGTCTAGCTAGGGAAGACTTTTTTTGTAAATAAAATTAATCTTCATCAATTATCTATCTTTAAAATCTTGATTTCTTTGATGTGACTTGACTACAGAACCAAGTACCTTTTACATATCCATTACTGGGAGCCCTTGATTCAACAATTCACAAATGCTGTCACATTAGGTTTTATAATGCATCCACTTATAACAACAATAGTGAAGTTCGGTGAGCTAACATTTATTCATAGTTCACTACTGGGCTAACAAGTGTTTTGCACACATTATCTCTGAAAAGCAGCTACTGTCACTGGCCTGTGCTAAAGCATGGTGAAAATGACTCCGTAAGGCTGATTTGCTTGCCCAGGATCACACGCCCAGCTCGCCCAGCTGCCATGTTGGGATCCAAGCACAGGCTGCCATCTCTCACTCCTGGGCCATGGGCCTCGGCCACTCACTTCACTGTCCTTGTAAAGGCTCACTGTTTCATTATTTTAGTTTATAAAAACATAAGTCTGATGATCAAACCCATGCCATTTTGCATCAACACTTAAATGATCCCCTAAGTATTTCTATTCAACAAACTCTTTCCTTCTCTGAGAAAAAAAAATGAATCATATACAGGACAATCTATCCAGCATGAACCAAGCAAGATGTCTCCCAAAATCACATTGTGACTTGGGATTTTATGTCTCAACTCTCACTTCTAAACCAGAAAGGACACAGATGCTCAGCAAATGGGGAAAATACACTTAGAGTAGGCACAGAGCATTTCTTATGAAACAAAGAATCTGTTCAGTGCTGTAAGCATCAAGAAAGAAAACTATACCAAACTCCTCCTGTATTTTTGCCAAAAGATGGGAATGATCGTCAGTCTGGCAATATCATACACAGACCTTAATGGTTTTCAAGACTCCTAAAATTCTCAGATTTCTTTTTTTTTTTTTTTAATTTTTATTTATTTATGATAGTCACAGAGAGAGTGAGAGAGGCAGAGACACAGGCAGAGGGAGAAGCAGGCTCCATGCACCGGGAGCCCGACGTGGGATTCGATCCCGGGTCTCCAGGATCGCGCCCTGGGCCAAAGGCAGGCGCCAAACCGCTGCGCCACCCAGGGATCCCAATTCTCAGATTTCTTACAGCAATTATTAATCCAAAATAAAACAAACAATCCCCTCAACTGAGCACAAAAGAACAAACAGTTGTTCTCAGGTGCAGAGGATGTATCAATACCTCCACCCCCTCGTAAAGGAAAAATTTTTGGATATTTTTATTTTTCCTTATGCACATAGAAATTTTAAAAATGAACGGGGTCCTCTCAGGCCATAAAGCAGCCTTTCCACTTTCCCCAGGCAAGAAAACGTTCCGGGAACGCCAGGGAGGAGGCCACCTATTCAGTGTGATTCAAAAGGAACCCGAATGTCTGCTCTAAAAATACTCCTTTTAAATTGGGATAGTGTGGTAATGATTGCTAGGTAGGAGAAGTCATGAGCTCTGGTTTTAGGGCATTTAGTACCTTGTGGACTATTACTCAAAACAGGGCAAAGAGAAAGGAGGAAGAGATTGTGATGGACTTGCATGAAGTCTGAGACAGAAAGGGTAGGCCCAGCGTGGTACCCAAGCTTGTCCAGAAGGCCCTGGAGTCCCAGAGAACACTCTGAGGGACACCTGGAAGCTGGAGCTGATAGAAATGGTATGCACAGACCTGGCCTTCTTTACAAGCTCATCAGAGGCCATCCACCCCTCAGACTTGTCTCTGCTCAGGAGACGCACCTCTCCGCTCTACTATGTAATTCTAACCACAGGACAGCTAAGCAGATGAGTAGTAAGTGATTTTAAGGAAAAATAAAGAATGAATGTTCAAAACATAAAAATACAAAATCAAGTTTAAGTATTATCTGACAATAAATTACACGTCCTTAAATGATCCTACTTCTATTGTGTTATCTATCAATAAAAACTTTTAGTGGCTCCCGTTAGGGAGTGGGTCCAAAAATCTGGGGTTGTCCCAACCAGAATCCCCATCAAACTCTCCAACTCCATCTCCTTCTAACTACCTTCAAAAACCATCCTTCTCATCAAATACAGGAATCACATGTGGGACACACAATTGAAACAGGAAATTTTTTTCAAAATCATTTATTTTAATGGTACATTTGCCACCTCCAATTCTAAGCCAGAAACCATATGTCTGTTGAAATGTACTGCATAATCCAGGGAAATGGGACATGATGTGGAATATTTTACGTCTTCCAATTGTGGGGGAAACACACTAAATCCTTCCTTGAAAATGTTAACAGAATACAAGTGCTACTCACTCACTGATTTATTTATTTACTCAGAAGTGAATGATGGAAAAGCAAAAACCTAGTTATAGAGGTCAAGGACTAGCTGTCTACAGTCACATCAATGTGAAAAGTCTTGCATCCTTAAATCCCAGAATCCTTACTCGGGGTGGCCTCAGGCTCACCAGACACACCCCTGAACTCAGACTCAAGCTTCTGTGACTCTCTCTCAACCACCAGTTGTCATTAGCAATCTTTCTGATTCATTTCTGATTAGTCAGTTACACAGTCTGTCCTCAAAATGAGGATTCTTGTTTCATTAAAAAAAAAAATAGCTACATATATATATTGCTGTGTGTGTATATATATATAATATTTCATAAAATAGCAATACATATTTATGTATATATACACACACACATGAAAGACTTTGAGGAAAAAATTCTATAGCAAAATTTATATTTGAAAGTTATGCTTAAATGAATGTAGGCTACAATTTCAATTATAATTTAGCCACGCCTGCACCATCCTGAAATGGGTTAAGTTTGTTACAGGAGGACTGGAGGGGCAAAGAAGACAGGGGACGCGCGTGAGTGGGCAAGTTTTGTAAGCAAGGTATGAAATATTATTCTCTAACTCTAGAGATAAAATGTAATTCAAATTAAGGACTGACGGCTCCAACAAACCAGGAGTTTACATTTGAACTCCTCCACATACACAATTTGTTGAATGGTGTGCCCACAAAGGCCAAAATTATCATTAACCTGGACAAGCTTAACCAAGACACAGGCTCAAAGCCGTGGCTGAATTCATCTCACTAGTCCTTTAATAAATTAGAGATGAATTCTTGTGTTGTGGGGAGGATCACTGACTTTGGCATCAGACAGAGTTCAAATACAACCCCAGCTACCTCTGTAACCCAGGCAGACACCTAACCTACAGAACCTCTGACCCCAGCGTGGCAGACAGCAGGAGCACCACGGGAAGATGAAATGGAAGTGGCTGGAAGATGATACCTGGGGAAAAAGCCAAGGTAAGCCAAGCAGAGCAGCAGGAGTAAGAGCAGTGGTGGTAATGGGGGCAGGAGTGGGGTGGCGGGTGGCAGTAACCAGTAGCAGAAGCAGAACCAGCAACTCATTTACCGAGTGAGAATCACACACTGGGCACGGTGCGCTTCATCATCTCTTTCAATCAGTTACGGCAGTTTCCCGGGGTGGCTACTGTAGTTATCCTTACTCTATACATGAAGCAGAGTTCCACAGGTACAGGTAATGTACCCAAAGCAGTGAGTGACACAACTACCTCTGCTGTTCATTACTCTGCTATACAGATTATACGCCTGAAAACTATCCAGGTGTTTCCCAAGAGCAGCTAGTTTCATCTACTAATACCACAATTCACTGGAAAGGAAGACCGGAAAATTGTAGAGATGCAGACTCTCATTTCTGCTGCACCAACCATGTGGACTGATTTTGATTCATTTCAAAAACTTCTCACCAAGTAGTATGGAGTCAATGAACGGTGATACTTCCCAGCACTTTCCCTCCAGAGCCACCCATACTGTCACCATGATGCTCCAGGAGCTGCCAACAGACACTTAATGAACACACGCCCTGGTTCACTGACTGACCCTCAAGCATTTTTAAATCTGGCAGCCCCTAATCCAAGTGGACATTCTAAGTCAGCAGTTCGGGCCACAGCCCGGGCATTCCAAATGGAAGCACTGCAAGTGTCTCCACAGGGTTCTCTACTGAAGTTCCTCATCTGAACCACAAAACACAGAATATGTTTTCAGTTCTCACAAACAAGGGCACAGCACCATTCCAGATGCATAGGAAAAAAGTTAATTCATTGCATGTCCCTGCTGAGAAAAACTCTAATCTTTCTAATCCTATTAATCTGTGAAGAACATACAACTTTGAACACAGAATTACCCATTATTTCCTGAAAAGGAGTCAACAGGGAACCCAAGAGTGCTGCTGGACAGGAGACAGAGTGCTCTTGTTGAGCCCCCACACACACACACACACATCAGCACAGACACCATCAGCAGTGAGCCCGCAGGCCCTCCAGTCACCACACAAAGCTCAAACAAGCTCTGATCAGGGCCTAAAAGCATGAGTGTTCGCTGACCCTTGAACACCACAGAGGCTGGGGCATTCATCCCCACCACACAGTCAAAACTCCATGTTATCATTTCTGAGTCCCCGAAAACTTAACTACTAATAGCCTACCTGTTGACCAGAAGTCTTACCATTAATATAAATTGATTAACATGTATTTTGTATGTTGTATGTATTATATAGTGTGCTCTTACAATAAAGTAAGCTAAAGAGAAGAGAATGTTAAGAAAATCATAAGAACAGGGGTCCCAGATGGCTTAATCAGTTAAACGTCTAACTCTTGGTTTCAGCTCAGGTCATGATCCTGGGAATATGAGATCTAGTCCCATATCAGGCTCTGTGCTCAGCACAAAGTCTGCTTGAGGTTCCCTCTTTCCCTCTGCCCCCACCCCTGCTCCCAGGTGCATGCATTAGTATATGCATGCATGCATAGCCTCTCTCTAAAATAAATAAAATCTTTGAAAAAAAAGAAGAAAATTATAAGGAAGAGGAAATACATTTACAGGACTATACTTATTTTAAAAATCAGCATATAAGTGTACCTGCACAGTTCACACCTGTGTTGCTCAAGGGTCAGGTGCACATTCACCAGAGGGCAAGGTGGTGGCAGGGGCGCTCCAGGCAGAGAAAAGGACACATGCAAAACCATGAGATTACAGGGAAAGGAAGAAATGTAAGAAGTTCCATGTCGCCATAATGTGGTGACAGGGAGAAGAGGGAAGGGGTTGGAGATGAAGCTACATCATAAAGGGCCTTACCCACCACACCCCAGGATTTCACCGCGTCCTGTAACAGGCAATCTACGCCACTAAAACGGCAGGGTGCGATCCGTGCTGGCAACAGAGCAGCTAACAGAAAAGGGAAACACAGACATCTGAATGAGACTTTGGCTACTGCCCACTCATGTTCGTGGCAGCCTGACACACAAGAGTGTCTCTCAACAGGTGAGCAGATAAACTAAATGTGGCCCATGCACACAATCGAATAGGATTCAGCCTTAAAGAGTAAGGATGTTCTGACACGTGCTACGACGTGGATGAGCCTTGAGGGCACTATGTTCAGGGAAGTAAGCCAGTCACAAAAGGACAAAGACTGCACAATCCCACTTCCATGAGGTGCTCAGAGCCACTGAAATCATAGAGGGGGCAGTGGCTGCCGAGGCAGGGGGTGGGGGATCAGGGAGCTGCTTAAGCAAGGACAGTTTCAGTTTTGATGAAGTTCTGCAGGCTGGCCGCACAACAGTGTCAGTGTACATCACTAAACTGCACACTTCAACATGATGAAAATGGTGCATTTTGTGTGTTACGGATACATTATCCACGACGCTGAAAGATGGGCACAGCCAAAGTCTAGTCAAGGATGATGTGAGGGTAAAAGCAGAGCTGTGAAGAGGGTGAGCTCAGGGGACTCAAGCTGGTGCCCACAGCAAGGTCGTGGACCTGGGGGGGTGACAAGCAGAAAGGGACCTGAGGACTCTGAGCTTCCCCCCTCAGCAGATGCCATTACAGGAGTCAGCATACTAACTGGTAAGAAAATTTATTCACTTCCTGTGTGTTTTCATCTAAACAACTTTTTCTGGCCCCTGTGACGTGCCAAACACTGTCTGGGAAACGTGGCCACACCAGAAGAAAAAGAGAAGTCCATGCCCTCTTGAGGTCGCCAGCTCCGTGGCACACACATCTGCGTGCTGATGTGTGACACACTACAGGGTACAGCAAATGATGCAAGGAAATGAAAGCACTTCTCCTGTGGAAGGAAAGAAGACCGGCAGTGGCACATGAGCAGCTGCTCCATGAAGGGGGGCAGTGGCTACAACTTTTTAATAAATAAAAATGGAAACCGTTTAGTCTGGCAGCCTCATTTGGTTACATAATGGAGTTTAAAAACTGATCCTTCAACAGGAATATGGAAATTATAAAACTGAATATTAAAAATACAATTCAACCATGTATTATTCTCCTTGCGTTCAGGTATTCCTTACTGCAAAGTAATTTCCTAATTGACAACACTCTCCTTCGTGTCACTCATTTTAGGTAAAAAAAAAAAATACAAATACTTCTTTTTCTGCAACTGAAGTATGCATGGGGTGGGAGGGGCACTGGATTCATAAACATGGCCTTTAAACTGACTTTAAAAGCAGGAACCTTCCTTTTCGTTAAAGATATTAAAGAAGAAATACCACTTAACGAGACTACAAAGGAGTGTAAAAGCTTAATTGTTGGAAGCCAAATACATAGGAATTTCAAAACCACAGCAATTATAAAAATTGTGACTACAATCAAAAGATTAACATTTTTTAAAGTTTTTGATCATTAGATCTGTGATTTCTAAGTAAGTTTTATTTTTCCTGAGGCAACATTTCCAATAAGGCTAGAACACGTGCTATTGGAGTCATCCAGAGTACGGTGAATCATCTCCTTCCATCCTCTAATTTTACAGGCCGAGAAACTGAATCCGAACAAGGTAAAAAGCCTGGCTATGGTCACATAAAGAATTACCACCATGAGGAGGCAGGGAGCCACGGTCTCCGTGCTCCAAGGGCACTGCTTTTCCCACTATAGTAGCAGGGAGATCATGGACCAGTCCATTCTTTGTCTGAAATACCTATGGGAAATCTAGAAACGTGAGTGGATTATGTCCCAAATCATTACACCAGTGATGTGAACACAGGAGCACATTTCAAATACGCAAATATAACACACAGTAATCAAAGAACAAGTATAACATTTTGTTCTTAACGTTTCTGAGTTTGCCTTTACTGAATAATAGCGCCAACCTGGATCGTGCAGCCCAACGTAAATCATCGCCTGTTGTGGCTAAGCTGTAATGTTAACCAACCAATTTAAAACCATTACTGACACAGAAACATGTATTTAGAGATTCTGTGCCAACTAAGAAACCACATAGTTTTTCAGTCATGTGTACAGGATACTCTGTATGGAATGCTAAATACTCAAAACCACACTGGTTTTTGGGGTTACCTTTCTTGATTGCTCATTTTGGCATACATGGCTTTCACCAATTCCGGGCTTTTCAGAAAATGGTCTGTAATAATCAAGAACCTAAGAAAAAAGGAGGAGAAAGTGTGGTTACTAGAAACATAGTAAAACGGACATGGCCTTATCTACTTTATGGGCATTTTACACATAAAAGTACTTCTTTTTATCAAACTTTTGATATGTTGTAATCTTAAAATGTTTTAAGAGGTTCACATACCACTTTTCCATTAGTGGCTAAAAGAAAATAGAAACCCTCAAAATAAATTTCTCCAATTTTACTTTGGAAAAATTTATTGAAATGATTCAAACTTGTCAACTGGAGGGAAGGGCTTACTATAGGTCTATCTAAGTTCCATTTTAACTATAAAATGAAATTTAACTACAAGTTCAGGTATAAACAGAAACCATATTACACAGTTTACTCAGAAGGTTAAGTGCTAAAATTAACTGGAGAAATGGACATGTCCCACGTTTTATTTAAACACATGCCAACAAACTGGTAATGCACACTGGCTTGATTGCCTTGTCTGTAAGAGCTCTCGAGTTACCAAGAAAACATCCTCATTGTCAAGCAATGCACTCATCTCAACTCAGAGATCAACTTATGGAAACCCTGAGGCAAAGATTATAAGCCTACTTTTTCAAAGTACCACTGTGACAACTAAAAAGATTGAATAGTATTATTAATTAATTCTGAATCATACTGGCCAGAGGGCATCTGCAATCTTAAGAACTAAAGAATATACTGTTTATAACCAAGGTTATAGCAGTAAGAGTGACTGTAAAGCATTAAATGTATTTACGGACACAGTTTATTTAACCACTTAACAAAAAATATAATGAAAGTATGTATTTCAGTATGATAACCAAATGAAGCATATTAACTACCACAACACATTGTCACTCATAAAAACAAAATCTAAATGTGTCCTATTTCTTTCACAGCCCTCAAAATAACTGATTAGCACTTTGATATAAAATATTTCTAGGGGGGGATCCCTGGGTGGCTCAGTGATTTAGCGCCTGCCTTCGGCCTGGGGTATAATCCTGGGGTCCTGGGATCTGGTCCCGCATCGGGCTCCCTTGCATGGAGCCTGCTTCTCCCTCTGCTTGTGTCTCTGCCTCTCTCTGGGTCTCACATGAATAAATAAAAATATTTTTAAAAAATGTAATAAAATATTTCTAGTGGGGCCCTTGGGTGGCTCAGTGGGTGAAGCGTCTGCCTTTTGGGTCAGGTCATGATCTTGGGGTCCTGGGATCGAGTCCCACATAGGGTTCCCTGCTCACTAGGGCATCTGCTTCTCCCTCTGCCTCTACCCCTCCCCGAGGCGCTAGAGCTCTCTCTCTCTCAGATAAAATTTTTAAAATAAAAATAAAATATTTCTAGTAATAATGGATATAATCAAAATTCTCCATTTTCATACCAGTTTAGGAAGGTCATCAAACTGCAACAACAGAAATTCATGCATTTTAAGCCAGGTATACAAAAGTGATCCTAAAGCTCATTCATGATTCAGCTTTCTGGAGCTCAAAACATTTTCCCAGACACACATCCATTCAAAAATGCAATGTTCCAGGACACCTTGGTGGCTCAGTCGGTTGAACATTGGACTCTTGATTTCAACACAGGTCATGATCTCAGGGTTGTAGGATCGAGCCCTATAACAGACTCCACATGGGCATGGAGCCTGCTTAAGATTCTCTCTCTCCCTCTCCTGCCTGCCCCCAGCGCTCACTCACTTTCTCCCATAACACAAATAAATAATAATAAATAAAAAGGATTTTAAAAAGTATAATATTCCAAAACTGTGCTGGGACCTAGGTCACTATCTATATTCCAAAATGCTAACAGTGGAGAAAGGCCTGCACACAAATAAAGAATTAGACAAAAATGTCTTAGGGGCAATACACATACTTTGTGAATCAGAGAAATAACAAAGCTGATCTAACCAGAGAGCCAGGGCAGGAGGCTCAGGAAGCTGGAGAAGGGTTTTGTGAGTCCCTCACTGAAAGGGGAGGGGACAGCATTCAAATTACAGGTGACAGGGGCACCTGGGTGGCTAGGTCGGTGAAGCATTCGCCTTGGGCTCCGGGTACAATCCCAGGGTCTTAGGACTGAGTCCTGTATCGGGCTCCTTGTTTCACGAGGCGTCTGCTTCTCTCTCTCCCTCTGCCCCCCCCCCTACTCATACTCTGTGTCTCTCAAAAATAAAATACTAAAAAAAAAAAAAAAAAAAAAAAAACCTTCAAATTACAGGTGATAAGGATTTGGAAAACAGGACAGCCATGAACTCAGGGAGCTATACCAGGAAAATATGATGAGATTTAGAGAGATTCAGGATGGAAAGCTTCCATGTTGCAATGCTACTGGGCCCCAATGGTGGGCTCTCGTGTCCCTGAGCCAAGGCTCCATGATGACCACACCCTCCTCCATGACACCAGCCAGTGTCCTCTCTTTCTGATCAATTTTGCTGATGTTAAAGAGCCCATCTTGCCTTGGTTAATTTTTTCTATCGATTTGTTTCCTGTGTCGCTGCTGGCAGCCCTGATTCCGTATCATTTCCTTCTTCCTGCTGACTCAGGTGGTTCTGTGCTCTTGTCAGTCTTTACTAAGTAGAACTTTCACAAAGGTCACTGCTTTCAGACCTTTCTTCTTTTCTGCTAGAAACTTTTAAAGCTATAAATTTCCCTCCAAGCATTGCTTTATCATACAAATTCTGTATCTTCATTATCCTTCAGTTCAAAAGGCTAATTTGCCCTGTGATTTCTTCTTTGGCAAACTAATTATTTAAATGAGCTAATTTCTGAAAACTTGGTATGTTTTCTTGGTATCATCTGATTATGGTTTTCTAATGTGCAATGAGGTCGGAGACCACATACTCTATATTTTTTATCCTTTTCATATATTTACTGAGACTTTTTTATAGCACAGACTACGGTCACTCTTGGTGAACATTACACATGCAGCTGGAAAGTGGATTTTACAAGTGTTGAGATAACACTCTAAGACATCACTCCGTGAAGATGTTCTGAGATCTCAAAACGTAAATGATACAATACTGGATGAAAGCCTTAGTAGACCAAAGACCTTTATAGCTATTACCAGAAATCTACAGCACATAAGGAAGAATGACAACTTCAGTTACTAAAACATCAAAAATTTATATCTATAAAAAAAGCCACATGAAAAGGCAAAAGACAAAGAAGTAAGAGAAAATATTTGCATTTTATTTTACACAAAGGACCACTGGCCCCAATTTAGAAAATAAGCCTACCTATAAAGAAGGATAAGACTGACATCCAAATGGAAAAATGGGTAAAGAAAATGAAACATACATATAAGAAAAACAGGCTCTTCAACATATAAAATGATCCTCAACCCCTTAACAAGAAAAATAGAAAATAGAAGTCTATAATGATACCATTTTAAATGGTGGCAGGACTGGCAAATCCAACACTGGGATGGTACTCCGTTAGCAGTGATGGAGGAAACCAGATCCTTGTAAATCACCAAGAGGAGTATATAATAGTCCAACAGCTATGAAGGACTACTTGGCAGTGTTTGTTAAAATATAAAAAAGCATGTTCCCTTTGACCTAGCGATTGCCCTTACGAGTTATTGGACAGTAATACCTGCTCATGTGCAGTATGACATACGTATGAACAAGGCTGTTCCCTGCCCCATTCCATAGTTACAGAACACTGGGAACCTAAATTTCACGAAGAAAGGATTGTTTAAATAAATCGCAATATATTCATATAGTGGAACATAAAAGAAAGATAAAGTTCTTTATATATTTATATGGAAAAGATCCTGAAAATATTTGGTTAAAAAAGCAAGAGGCTCAGGAATGCCTGGGTGGCTCAGTTAGTTAAGCACCTGACTCTTGTATTTAGGCTCAGGTCATAATCTTGGGGTCCTGGGATTGAGCCCCATATTGGACTCTACACTCAGCATTGAGTCTGCTTGAGATTCATTCTCTCTCTCTCTCTCTCTTACCCCTCTCCCTGCTCACACAATCTCAATAAATAATATCCTTTTACTATATATATATATATATATATATATATATATATATATATATATATATAAATTTTTAAAAGCCAGAAGGCTCAACAGAGTGTTGAAAAGAGCAAGCAGGTCACCTGTCTAGGGGCTAGGGCTGGAGGAACTAGGGGGGTGGCTGGAAGGGAAACTACACTTTCTGATACTTGAACTATATGAAAGTACTATCAAGGAATTAAACATGTATTTAAGTATATGCTAGAAAATTCATCTCAAATTTATTTCTGCCTCACAGACACCGTGCTAAGGAGTGAAAGCATGGCCATCTCTTAGTGGGACATCATCTGGTGTCCTTGGCAGCTCGACTTCCCAGGAAGAAAGGCAGAGACAGTGGAGAACTCAGGTATGCTCTATCTTACCAGAAGTTATTTCTGTTTCTCTAAAACAGCTTAATAATAAATCTGAGTCTCTTCTCAAAGAAAAACACAAAGAAAAGATGAAGTCACTTCATGTCCCTGTCACTGCAATGCAGTAACACAGTAATTCAAGTCACCTAAAGTCTGATCCCTAAAATGCAGTCCTTACCACTTCCTGCAGAGACCGCGCACACAGATCAGGTCACAGACTACACACGCTGCCAGGACACCCCTCCCCCACCACCGGGTCAATGCCATGCCTGCTCCTGATACAAGCCGCCCTTAACCCAGAGTTTCAGCCTCCCATTCTCTGAAGGGTCCCCCCCACCCCAACCCCGCAGCCCCACACCAGGCAAACTCCCAGCACCCCATGCCCCATCTTCTGGAACTTCCATGCTGGCTACACTCCACGATGTCTCCAATTAGATGCAGAGTGGGCATCTTAAATTCAACACAGCCAGAACAGAACTCTTGATCTCCCCACTGCCACTCAACCACCCACCAGCTAACAAGCCCAGAACCCAGCCTGTGCCCCTGCCTTTCCTCTCCCAATCTCACCCCACACACCCCATCCTGCATGAAGCCTCACTGGCTCTCCCAGCAGAGAACAATCATTCTGCATGTGTCTCTCCACCTCCACT